TGACAAAAATTAAGAAGTCTGACAAGACGAAGTACTAGGGGATGAGGATCAGTATGAACTCACAGAATTGCTTTGTAAAGAAAAGATAGCACCACCCTGTAAAGCTGAGTCTTTCTCTATTTGTGTCTTTACCATTCTATTCTTGGGTGGATAGCCTAGGGAAACTCTAGCAGATGTTTCCCAGGAGACATGTTCATGAATGTGGATAGCAGTGTGTGTCATAATACGGAATGCTAAAACCTGCTGCTGTCAAGTCGATTTCGACTCATAGGGACCTTACTGAATGCTAGAATAACCTAATTATTTAGTGAAGGAAAAGCATAGACAGATACTGATCTAATCACACAACTGGTAAAATTATACAGCAGTGAAAATCAAGAATGAACAAAGGCATACAATTAATCTCCGGCAAAAAGAATACAATTGACGATATAAACATAAAGTTAAGAAAAATTTAAGACTAAATGATTTAACAGGATGACAGTTTGTTTGCAATGACTAATGGAACATGAATCTTTGTGTACTGAATAACACAACAGAGATACTTTAATGGCACAAATTCTGGTAAGTGCATAAAGATTTTGATTTAACAGTAACCATAACCATATAGACAAACTCACACATGCTTGTCTTCAGACATAAAAAAAGTGAATAATGCAAGAGTTAATTTTACATATTTGTATATTAATATCTCATAAAGAGAATCTATATACTTTTCTTATACAGAAAAAATTGATCATAGAATTGGCCATAAAAATTCTTAATCAATTTCAAAAATTAGAATTTTTACAGCATCATTACCTGATGATAGTGTCATAGTACTAGTTAGCCGCAATGGAAATGTTACAAAACAGAAAACAATATAAATGTTTGGAAATAAACAATTGTAAAAATAACTTGGGCCAATTAAAAAATTAAAACTGAAATGATAGCTTACTTAGATATTAACAAAATTACATCAAAAGCTATACTCAAAAGAGTGTACACAGCCTTGTTGTTGTTAGGTGTCGCTCAGATGGTTCTGACTCACAGCAACTCTATGTACAACAGAACAAAACACTGCCTTGTCCTGAGCCATCTTCACAACTGTTGCTATGTTTGAGCCCGTTGTTGCAGATTCATAGTCTTAAAATGTTAAAATTTTAAAAATAAATTTGGAAATAAATATTTAGTTAAAAATGATAAAAAGTAAATGTAAACAAATTACGAGGAAATAATTAAAATGACAGGTATAAACTAGAAAACATTAAATAATGTTTCAAAAAAGAAGCTAGCTATATGGAGAAAAACATCAATAAAATAAAAAAAGTCTTTATAATATAATCCTGAAGAAATAATTACAGAGATAATTAAAAATGTTTCATCATTACAAATGAATGAAAAGGATAAAATCACAGAATTAGAGAAAATTCATTAGCTCATAAGAGAATATGCTGTAATTTGTTTAAATAAGTCTTGAAATCTAGATGAAATATGGATGATTTATTTTGAAAAGAAATTCTAATACTAGTTTAGGGAAAGAAAACGAACTTCCTGAAATAAACTGATGAGGACAATGAAAATGCTAAAAATTTCCACTAAAACTCTAGCAGGATCAGATATACAAAAAAAAGGGTGTATTTTAATAAAATTTTCCCAAAAAAAATTAATTTATATTATTTAAACTACTCTCGAACATTCTAAAAATACAAAAAAATCTTTGAAATTCATTTTACTGAAACTAAATATAGAATTATAGAAAATCAGAGACAATTTTTTAAATAATTACTGATAAAGAAAACCGGGGTGAACATTAACAAAAGTCCTTC